AATCGACGAGTTGATGACCAAATTGCTGCAGTTACGGGTAAACCTACCATCTCTGCCATTTCAGATATGACTCATAAAAACGTTATGTATAGTTAATGGGTGATGCATGAAACTCCTGTAATCTTGTGCTTTCTCTACCACCGTCTGCAGGAAATTGAGGCTACTCATAGTCAGATTCTCAGCACATTGACAAACCGACCTGCCAATAAGGTTCCTGGTGACCTTTCACAAACCCCGCCCACTGCTGCTAGGAGCATTTCACTTGACAGAGTATCAGTAGATGGTGAGTCGTTTTATAGCAAAACAGGCTTTCTTAGAGGAACTGTACAGCTGTTGATCTCTCCAAATATCTATTTTCCACTTTGGGTGGGGCTGCTACCATATCGCATCGCAATATAATTGCAAAATGTGCACATGTGCAATAATCGCCAGTGTTTTAGGTGATGGCCATTCACATTTGCCCGTACGCCGGCTTTTCAGTACTATATGGCGTATCCTTATGTTTATTAAATTTGGTTAGCGGAGCCTGCCACATGCTACTGGTTTGGCAGATTACTACCTTTTGAGCATCAATGCACATGTCATTAATGTTTTAGGTGAACTATTACAATCGTATTAACCTTGCTCTGTCTACCTCTTTCAGGGGTGGAGCTGTCCCAGACAACAGTCCAGTCTACTGGATTTTGAGACAGACCAGAAAGAACTTTTTTTTTAGCATTTCTATGCTAATTCTCCATTTAAGAACAGTACAGTTGCATATCATTATATACTGGATTGCCTGAAATCCTTTTCCAACATGATGTCATCAAGGAAGAAGATTGCATTTCCAGGGTTATGTTTTGATGTTTGAACTTTGGATTAGGAATTAAAGAAGAACACAGGGAGTCTGGGAGAAGGAGCAAGTATGAATTGAAGGGGGATGCATTAGAAGAGCAAGGCACTTTAGTTCCATTTGGTACATCTTCATGTGTGTATCAGCCTGAAACTGGAAGTTTTCCAGACTCCAATTTGAATGCACATGCATTTTGAGCCACTGAAACCCACCTGGAGCTTGAACTGGAAATGGTTAATGACTTTGAACTCTTGTAAATGTAAAGCTGACCTCCCTCAGAATGTTTTAAATTTGAGGTTCAACACATACGTAATTATGCG